CTTTTCCTAGTGAGAGCTAGTCCAGGCTGGCTCAGGCCAACTTTGCAAACTTGGAGCAGGACCCACACAAGTGGGGTTATTGCAGATAGCTTCTTGCTTCTTCAATGGGACTTACCACCTTGCCATTCACCACCATGTTGCTCCAACCACTGGGAGAGCAGGAGCTTCCTTGGGGGTATATGCAGGTGGAGGCTGGCCTCACCTCTGCCTGACAGAGGAGTGTGGGGGAAAAAGAAAAAAAAAATTGCACTTTTGTCTCTATAAGTCACAGGTGGGTTTCTGCAATGCGAATATGTTTTCTTATCTCTGAAGCTGCTCACAAATGTGCAAGATGGCTGGGTCAGGTCTGGTCAGCCACCACAGCTCAAAGGTCGCTTCTTTTTTTGCCATGTCTGCTCAGCTCTTTCTCCTAGTAAGTATTCATCCCACCTCTCTATCCCTTCATCTGAAGCTCAGAGTTCTAAGACTATCTTCTGTATCTCTCTCACTTTGTTTTCTGTATCTTTGTTGTAGAGGTTCCATACAGCCTTTTTCTGCCTAGTCTACCATTCTCCCCTGCCTCCCACAATCTAATTTTAAGGCATTTTAATCCATCTAATATATATCATTCGGGGATGTAGCTCAGTGGTAGCATGCATGCTTTGCATGTATGAGGCCCCGGGTTCATTCCCCGGCATCTCCACTTCTATCTGGAGTGCTGGTGTGCCGCTATGGGCAATTGCATTAGACTGCAAAGTCATTTGAACTGCAAGGTCGTTCAAGCTCACCAGCTGCTCCTCAGAAACCCTATACATGTTTGCTATGGGTCGGAATCAACTCAATGGCACTTAACATCAGCAACAATATTTATCAGTCAGTCTCTGTTCTCTTGAGCATTTAACCATTGCACCACTATAGACTTGCTTATTCTGGATATTTGCATAAATGGAACCATACAAAAAAGTCTTATGTGACTAGTTTTTCTCACATTTTTAAGGTTCATCTGTGTTGTAGAACATATCAGTACTTCCTTCCTTTTTATTGTCAAATAATATTCCATTGTATAGATGTGCCAACTTTTATTTATTCACTCATCAGTTGATGGACATTTGGTTCTGTTTCTACTTTTTGGCTTCTATGAATAATGCTTTGATTAACATTCATAGGCTGTTTTGCCATTTTTAGATATGAATTCTGCCTTGTAAAATTAATAGCCTAAACATGACTAAGATGCAACTGGACACCAAGATCTGTTCAATTTAGCCATAGATTCAGAAAATTACATTACAGTTGTGGAGGGGAAAGAAAGTTGCCGCAAAAGTGTTTTTATGATTATTTCACCTGCCTGCTTAACCCCAGCATGTGCTCTCTCCTTCTCCATCCCCTTTGGTCCAGCTGTCCTTGCTTTCTGTTTTAAAACCAAAATCGATAGGCAAAATCAACAGCCAAAAAGAGGCAAACCAACCCCAGAGCCAGGCCAAGTAGGACACAGCCACTGCTACTGGGCTGGAAATACAGAAAGCTGTTCTTGGGCCATTTGGAGATGCTAATTAGGCTGGCCAATTTCTACTGGTGTTGAGTTGCCAGTGTTGAGTGCGTAGGCTTTACCCCATCCACTGCCTGCACCTGTTCCCTCCTCAGAGCCATTCCAAGGGATCTGAATAACCAGTCAGCTCTCTGATCTCTGCTCTGTCCGCCTTCCTGCTGGTAGAATATTTAGCACTCGCCTAAAGCTGGAACCCTGGTCCAGCATTTCTATCCCTCATCTGTGCCAGCTTTCAAAACCATTCTCTTCCCTAATTATCTCGAGCCAGTTAATCATTTCCCAAGGATCCAAGGAGAGGCAGTCACTTTTCTTGTCTGACCCTGCCTAACATTCTCCCTGGTGGCAGTCCTGGACGGCAGCCTTTCCTTAGCTGTCCCAGTGATTAGGGAGAAAACATGCCACAGAGAGACCCACTAACACTTGGAAACCTCTGCAGGCAGAATTGTGTAGATCACACAACTCTAAACCAGTACTAGTGTGCCCTGTGTTTTCTTTAATTCCTTGTTAACATCAAGAATGTCAAAGAAGTCACATCTTCCTCAGAAAGGGGTTTCTGGATTCTCCAGGCTCAAGCTTGGTTTCTGAGCCACTGGTTTGACTCTTTGGTATCTGAGTTGAATTATTTAGCATTCTCCCTGTGTTAGTCTCACTGGGCTAATATTAGCTGTGAGTGGGCCAACTCCTGATTCTCAGCACCACTACTGGTTAAAATACCTTTAAATTTAAGATATATACTGACACTGTAACCCAGTGTTCCTCAACCTTTTCTTCATTATCCGTGCAACAGGAACTTCTTAAGGTATTTTTATTTCCTAATAAAATATTTTAGGTGTTTTATTTTCCTCCCCTTAAGAACCCCAAGAGTCCTGGTGTGGCACTGTGGGCTAATGCACTGGACTGCAAAGTCGGTTTGAACTACAAGGTCAACGGTTCAAGCTCACCAGCCACTCCTTGGAAACCCTACACAGGGTCGTTATGGGTCAGAACCGGCTAAATGGCACCTAGCAACAACACAGAGCAGCGATATACTGTGTATCTGTTCATTTGCCATACTTACATGTGAGCTTTAGACATATAAAGAATAAGATATTTTTGTTCCCCAAAAGCCAGTGTCACTCATATAGTCCCTGTTAGAACATGCTATACCTCCTCCACCAAAGCTTCACAAAGCAAGGTTCTCATTTGTTTGGTTCCCTGCTGTAAGCCTAGAGAGTACCACAGGACCTGGTACACCTCATCAGCTGTTAAAAGAATGAAATAATTGTTTGTCCCTTTCCTCAGGATCATAAACCTCATATCATCTTTCCATCCCTCATCTTCCAAGCACAGTTCTCTCTTCTGGTACCTGCTAACACTGCCCAGCATGATGCCTCATGGGGGAGGTTGGGAGAGGTGGGTGGTTATCAGAAGCTGACAACTACTCCCCTGTTCCAATTCCTGGGGCCTGCCTTTTGATAGCATTGCATGTGTATCAAGGGCAAGTAACATTTGAACACCATGGAATAATTAAGGCAACCCCCAACTGCCATTGCCTTTGCATCTCCTTAACTCAAGCATGGATTCACAGTTACTGAGACAATCTCTTTGGTCCAACACACCACACCAGGCTACGTCTGGGGATGCACTGGGGAGAAGAGCAAACCCATCCTCATCAGCAATTACAAACAAGTCCTCCATTGTTAGCACCACCATCTGTTTTCTTGGTTTCTATCAATCAGGTGCCTGTATGCACAGCATAACGAGAGCTGAGAGGACTGCAGGGGAGTGAGATCAAGAAGCTCCTTCATAAAGAGACTCTGTGCTCACATTGGAGAGGGCCAGTAGCACATGCCCTAGGAAAGTTAAACTTCCCCAACTGGAGGAAGAGCCATCCAAAGCTACTTGATGCATGCTGCCTCGCATGAAAAGAAATGAGGCTCCCCAGTCCATTGTCAGGGAGGGTAAAAAATCTGGATAATTACACTGTCCAGAGGATCCATTTTAGCTTATAACCACCAATCAGCACCAGCCCAGAACTTCTTGTGCTTATTGAGTACAACCATTGTGCACAGAAAAAACATTAACAGTGGTTCGAAAGCAAACCAAGAAAGCTAGGGGATGCTAGTGGATCATCTGTGGTCAATTATTTATATTGAAATTTCTAACCCCAAGTATTGGGTGGGGGTAGATTTTTCATTAATAGTGTGAAAAAAATATAGCTTCAAAGAAGTCCCCATTTCTTCCAGAAAGCCTCTGCCTCAAGCATCTGAAAGTGTCCCCGGTTATAGTACCAACTTTGTAGCAGACGGCATCAGAGAAAATCCATGTTTACAGCTGTTGTCCCACAGACAGTGGTCCAAGTCACTGATAAAAAGTCCTTTGTCTTTAAAAAAAAAAAGAGAGAGCTAAAATGAATAGAGAGAAATACTGTTAACTAATGGTACATGAAGGGGATTGTAATCAGTGTAATGAAACAAAGTATATGATTTGTTGGATGTAAAATTGATGATCTGCCCTGTAAACTTTCACTCAAGTCACAATAAAAACTTAAAAAAAAAAAGTCCTTTGTCCAGATCTGATGGTGGTCAGGTGACACTGAGATCAAGGTGGTTGTGGGGTATAGAATTCCACATATATGAAATATCTAGAAAAGGCAAGTGCATAGGTACCAAAGTAGATTTGTTGTTATCAGGGGTGGACGGAAGGGGAGCTCACTGTTTAAGGGACCCTGAGCTTCTTTTAAAGGTGATGGAAAATTTGGAAACAGCGGCCATGGTTGCACAGCATGGTGAACATAATGGCACTGAATGGTACATATGAAGAATGTGGAAATGGCAACTATCTGGTCATATATATACACATTGAATGTGTGTGTATATATATATATATATGTATATATATATATATATATATATATACACACACACACACATATATATGGAATCCTGGTGTGGCGCTGTGGGTTAATGAATGCTCCAGACTGCAAAGCCGTTGGAACTGCAAATCTATATATATTTATTTGTTGCTGTTGTTAAGTGCCATCGAGTCGATTCCAACCCATAGCGACCCTGTAAAGGGTTTCCAAGGAGTGGCTGGTGAGCTTGAACTGCAGACCTTGCAGTTCAAACCGACCTTGCAGTCCAATGCATTATACTGCAGCATCACACCACACCAGGGTTCGTTCTCTCTCTCTCTCTCTCTCTCTCTCTCTCTATATATATATATATATATATATATATATATATATATATATCTGCCTCAACGGCACTTAACAACAACAACGTATATATATATATATATATTTTTTTTTTACCATAATCAAAAAATTAAAGAAACTTATGGAAAGTGATGGTGAGGTGCTCTGTTGCCTGAGACCTTGAAAACTCTTATCTTTGACTGTATTTTGGATCTCAGGAAGTTTGGGAGGCCAGGGACCAGATCTAATTGTGTGCACTGCCCAGCATCAACAGGGTTTCTAATGGGATCTGCTTCAAACATGTCGGTAGGTTAATGAGTCTTTCATTTCACAGTTTGAAACGTGGCATAAACTAGCCTTTCGTAACTCCAGGTGGAACTTTAAGTGACTTTTCAGTTGGTAATGATCAGCAAGGCTACAAGAACACTTCGTATCCCAGGAATAAATGTATTATTAGTAGTATTGTATTCATTATCAAGTTGCAACTGTGGGTGTGTCTTGTTTTTATTCATTTCATTTTTGTTCTTTCCCTTCAGATTAAACTGCAGAAAGGTCTCATTACAATATTTGAGAAAGGTAAGATGCTCCTCAGTGGGCTCACCCAGCCACCCTGCTGGGGAGGGGCAGGATGAGTCCACTAGCCTGCATCTTTCCACAGCTAACCCTGTGTGGAATGCCCCTTCTGCGCCTGGCCTTCTGCTTCTGCTGCTCCACACCACCCCTCCCAAAGGGCCCTCCACACTCCTGCCCCTGCATGTCTGCGCTGTCTGGGGAAACCCAGACTCGCCTTTCTTCTGCTCCTAGCATTCTGGGCGGAATCTGACACCAACACCTGCCATCCCGGAAAATGTCTTTGTCACTGGCCCTTTGTGTGCTGGGCTGCAGGGAGCCAATGGGTACCAGGGCCGCCCCTTTTTTTGTTGCCCAAGCCTGAAGGAGCAAGATCTTGAGATGGACCAATAAGACAAGGCACGTGCTGGGCTGGCCTTTGACCGCTGGCCTTAATGGAGGTCTCCAAGGCCTCCGTTTGGGGAGGGCAGATTGCTGAGGGGCCTGCTGAAAGGAACAGCTGGGGGAGGAAGAGCAGACAAAAGCTGGGGGAGCACAGAGGGCAGAGAACCTGGGACTCACTGTGGTTTAGGACCCAGAGAGCAGACTGCCGCACGCACGCATGCCAGGTGTGACCTCCGTGGGCCTCTGCTTCTGCCCTGGGCCTGCTATCCAGGCCTTCCCTGGTGAGTGTTAATGGAGGGCCATCGACAGTGTTGGGGCTGGAGATGCTCCAGAGCTGCAGGCTCTGCTGCCTCAAAGACTTCCTGGTGGAAGTGAGACCAATGACTAGCTGCAGTAGCAATAATATAACTCGAAGGAGAAAGACAATGGATGAGTTGTCATTTATTAAGTGAACTGCCCACAGTGTAAAGCTTGGCACAGATGCGTTCACTTGTATTTATGGAAGTAGGATGTTGGGGTCTACATTTTTTGGTTTATCCAAAATTCCACCCTCCTCCATCATGCAAGGAGTGTAAAGCCCCCAAGCCAGACGAACAGCCTTCACCACCTCAGTGTGATCCCTGACCCAGCTGGCCCCTTTCTTTTGCCTCAGCCATGACTTTGCTCCAGACCGACTATTGTTCCAAACTTGGCCTCCAGCAATCCCCAGGGCAAAGAGGGCTAAGTAGAGCCCAGGTGCTCAGCTGGAAATGGGCAGACAGGGTCCTATAGCATCCCCCACCCCCACTAGTGAGGATTTCTTGAACAAGTATTATTTGCTGGAACCCGGTAGCCATGATTGGCTTCCTCTTCCAACACGCACCACTGCCAATTCTCACTCATAGAGATCCTGTATAGGGTTTCTGAGACTAAATCTTTTAGGGAGCAGACAGCCTCATCTTTCTCCCGAGGAGCGGCTAGCAGTGTTGAACTGCTGACATCATGGTCAGCAGCCTAATGCCTAGCCCACAGCACCACCAGGGTTCCTTTGCTGTACCACAGGAGTGGCGAAATGGGGCTCAGATGTCCTGTGAATAGACACTGAATTTCTGTCACAGCGAAAGGGCCAAGTGGTGGATGTCTATGCAGGTAGTCTGAGAGTGGAATTCTCATGTTCTTAAGGTGGCCTTTCTGTTTTATGACTGACCTCCTCTTTCCTCATTTGCTCCCTCCCCATCAATCACAGGGTCCTGTAGGTGCATCAGGAGCCACTGTACGCTGGGATGTGCCCCAGAAAGCTGGGGACTGGAGGAATACACCAGGCACTGAGGGGCTGGCTCCAGTCCATGGTGGCCTTGGTCCTTGGCCCTGGCAGTCAAGGTCACACTGCATTCAGATGCCCAGGATCCCCCTTGCAGCAGAACCTCAGATGCCACCCAAGCCTGTGGTGGGGTGAAGTTGGCATTGCTCTGGCAATCTGCATCCTGCATAGCTATAGTAACATGTAGGGCCCCTTCTCCCATAGCCCTTTTTGGGTGCTGGGCAGGGGGAGTTAGCATCAAAATAGTTTCCCTTCTAATCCAGAACAAATAAAGGTTCATTCTTTCAGTTGATATCTTTGAACATCACTTTATACCTGTCATTAATTTGCATTTTTTTGTTTCCCTATCCCAGTTCACATTGAAGCAGGGGAACTAGTTTATTATATGAAATCTTATACAATTTGAGGTTTAGGTGTTTCAAAATTGAGTGCCCACTGTGATTAAGTCCATTTCACCTGTGTTATACTAGCACCCACCAGCACCTAAGAGATAGAGAGATGTGATTTAACCGTCCCTTCTTTTCCTGGATGACGGTATTAGCTGCCCTGCTATACTGTCCAAAGCAGCCTGATTTTAAAGACAAAAACAGTGAGCATACTGGCTTTAGGACACATGAGAGAGACTGCCTGTGCAGGTCTAAGCATGTTTGCAAGTATTGATTTAGAGGCTCTTCCTAGAAACAATAAGGAAAGGCCAGAAATGAAAAAGATGCTGTCAGTGAACAAATTCACTCAAATTAATTTCACATGCCAACAGTAATAATAATTTCAAAGACCAAACTCCAGCAGTAAAGCATGTTTTGAGGTTTGTTCCAAGCAAAGGTCATGCAAGGAAGTACTGGTTGTAATACAACAAGGTTTCAAAATACATTACAAGGGGGAAGGTGATGAAATGATCTACTCATTCACAGAACTATCCTTGGGGAGAGCGAGCTGCACTGGCAACAGTGGTTGGGTGTTGCAGCAGGCATTCTTGTATTCCTCTGAGCAGGTTTAGAATAGCCCTTGGGAAGGGGAGAGGTGCAAATACGCAGGTTTTAATTTTATTCCGTTTTCCTTCTAGTGCTAAATAGCTGTATGCTCATCTGGACTCATTCAGACAAGTAATTTAGTCCTGACCTCTAGTCTTAGCTCCTTTGGGGAATAATTGAGTTGTAACTCATTGTGTAACGTATCAATATGTAAATATGTATAGATTCTAGTAACCCTGACAGGGACGCAAGTAGCTTCCTGTAGAGTTTTAGGTGGTTTTTCCATTGATTCTAGTCATGGACTCTCTGTCTCTTTTTTTATTATATCAGATGCCATTTTTATTCATTTTTTTATTTGTGGATTGGACAGTGAGACTGAGTTAATTTTGGGGGGAAAAAAGATGCATAACTTCTTTTATGCCGCAGAAATGCTCAGGAAAAAGGCTAGGTGGAAAGACATTCACTCAGATCAGTCAGCATGCCCAGCCTGGGAAAACCATCAGAACCCCTTCTGAGGGACAGAGCTCCATTTCTGCTCCATGCCACCACTCTCCCCTGAAACCTGTGCCTACAAAAACCTTGGTTGACTTGACCTGGTTTCTCTTTGCTTCCTTTGCAGGGACATTGGCCACCAGCATGAGAGCCATGCTTGCAGTGTCTCTTGAAGCAAAGACAGTTGAGATGTCTCCATCCCTGCCCCATGTCCCCAAACTCAGAGACCCTGGGAAACCTCATCACTCTGCTAGTGCCCTCAGCAAGTCTTCCCACTAATTGACTTCTGCAGTTCAAGGAGAAGCCCGCCGGAATGTTGCCACTAGGATTCTCAAGCTTTACCATGTTTTCCTGAATTGAAACCTCATGAGCCTTAGGCTTCCAAAGAAAAAAAAGACACTGGCAACCAGAAACAGGTCCCACTTATGTGGGCAATGACTGGCTGCTGCAGGAGGAGCCCAGGAAAAGATTCTTGGGTGGTGTTGATGGGCCAGAGGGGCAGTTGGTTCCTGTTCCCAAGTGGTTTCCTCTCATTTCTGAGCCCACACATGATTTACAGAGGGGCTGGCAAAATAACTTTTAACCAAACTGTGGCATTTTCTCTGCCTTGAGTTTTCTAGTTTTTCTTCTATTAGGATTTATAGTTTACTCAAAATTTTCATCATCATGGAAATTGGCTTTCCCTAGGGTCTTTTGCCCAGGAGAAGTTTTACCTCAATTTTTGGGTGTTTTTTTTTTTTTTTTTAACCTGGTGCATGATACCCACTAACTGGGAAGAGGTTCTCTCAACCACCCAACAGCCTATCAGTCCATGACTAAGATGTTCATACCACAGAATACTCAGATGTTTCTAGAAACGCAGGGCCCTGTTCCTGTTCCCACATAAGCTCCTGTCACACAGAAAACCTTATACAGCTAAATCCAGTGTCACCAATACAACAGGCCTGTGCCAATGGGGGAACCTCACCATTTCAAATTGCCTCCTAAATTTTACCCTGGAATAGTGCTCGCCAGCCTGTTGCTCAGAGTAAACCAAGACAGGGGCCTTAGAATTTTGTCTTATCACACCAAGAGTTATAAGGTAACAGATTTCAAGGAAAGGAATTGATACTTACTTTATACCCATCTAAGGAGCTCTGACAGTGCTGCTAACTGAAAGGTCAGCAGTTCAAACCCACCAGCTGCTCCATGGGAGAAATATGAAGCTGCCTGCTCCCATAGAGTTTTACGGTCTCAGAAACCAAAGGAGCAGTTCTACTCGATTCTACAGGGTCATTATGAATTGGAACCAACTTGATGGCAGTAAGTGGATTTTGTACTCATTTTGGCTCCAAGGAAGGCACTATTGAGCTAGTTTGTTTTGAAAAAACAAAAACAAAAACCAACCTTTTGTCCAGGGCTGCCTGCCCAGTAGTAGGAAACCATGCAGCAGGGGAGAGGCCTGTCGTGCACAGACCCCCACTTCTCTCCCCAGGTACTGCCCCACCATCACAAGTAGAATCTCCAAAGTTCACCAGTCTGTCATGTACCACATGGTCTTTACTTTTCAGATTGGTTCAAAGTGCTTGGGTCCAGAAAAGGCCCCTTTCCGTCTTTCTGAAACTCACAGCCTCAGAGCAGCAAGGGACACACAGCCACCAAGGCCAGCAAGACAGTCCCTAGGCCCTCTGCCATCTTGTTACCATCACCTGCTCACCTCCCTAGAGTGGCCATTCTGGAGTCGACAGTTGTGTCAACACTGAGTTGGTTTAGCGCGTATCTGACGTTTGTGGGAGAAATTGGCAGATTCTTGAAACACATGAGAAAGGATTGAGAATGTTTCATATCAAAGGTAGACCTTCCGATCCCAATGAGAATTCTTTTTCTGGCTTATCCGGGGTTACATGTAGAGTTTGAGGCCCAAGCCCCCTAGACTAAAGTGACTTTAGTCACTTGGGTTGTTTGGTGAGTGGGCCCAACATGCTCACTTATTGGGGACTTCATGGCACCACGAAGCAAACTGGAAGTCAGGGTATTTCCCATGGTCGGAAAATTCCCACCTCCCATCTTCCCCTACCCCGTTAATGGTTTGGTCAGCCTGGATTTGCCCACAGAGCTCTGACTTCAACCTGTCATTGAGCTACATCATTCCTATTTACTAGAAGCCCAGCCTCTTTCACACGCCTGTGTGTTCCTTGGAGAACATTTTAGCTTCAGCTCTAGGACCCTTGTTGCATGAGTACGTATGCAGAACTTTCAGCCTTAGTGGAAGGTAAGTGTCCAGATTTAGAAGTGTTTAACTCCCTGGACTTCTGCTCCATGATTTCACTTTACCTCCACAAACCAGTGCTCCTGACCTTGGAGTGAGAATTCAGGTTGTCAGTAGTGAATACATGGACCCTCTTATAATCGCTAATGATTTTGGCAAACTGTGACCCCAAGGTGCAGTCAGCAGCTCTGTGATGGGCTTGTTTCTGGACCACCATTCTCAGTCACTGCTTTGGGGTGGACATATGGAAATGGGAGCCATCATGTTTGCTTATGGTCACGTGGGCTTGTATCATTTAGTTTATGTGAGGTGGAAAACTGAAACAATCAAGATTTTTTTTTTTTTTTTGCTCTTATAAAAGCAAATATTGTGCTTTTTAAAATGTCTTTCAGCAAAATTGTGGAGGATCACTCACCTAATGGAGACTTGTCTTGATCCACAGCACTGATGCATCACATTAACAGATCAGCCACCTGCAAACAAAATCATTCCTAATTGACTCAAAATATGGTAAAGACTTGCTGGCTCCCAGAAAGGCTGGACCAAGCCCTCACTGCCCTGCATACTGATTTCTGTCTAGAGCAGAGCTGATGTTCTGTAGTCTAGTTGAGATAGGTTTTTGTACTTTAAAATAGTAATGCCACAAAATGAAGACTTCCTTTTAAGTAGTAAAATCACAAGTAGACAGGAGCAAGGGAATTTAGTCTAGTGAAGTGGGTGTCACAAGTGTCTTGAATTATATGCAGTTAAGACTGCAGTTCCTAAAAGCCACAAGATAAGGAGAGGGTTTTTGAGACTTGAATTTACTATCTGGGTTGACTAATTGAACCCTTTAGCCTTATAAAATAAAGAGAGCTTTTAGATCCACAGAGCAATGCAAATCATGTCTTCCTCAGGTGTTAAACCTGCTCTTTATTCACTGCTGTACAGTACAACTTGTGTAAGGCAGAAAACTGTCAGAGAAGGAAAACAACACGTTCCACTCAATCGCATGATAGAAAAGTGATAAAACTGCCCTGTCAAACTAGAGAGACCCAGAAAAAACAAGGCAGTTCCTCAAGTTCTGACTGTCATAGGTTCCACTGTATTTGTATCATGTGGGGGTTGCAGAACACTTAAAAATTTACTGTGATATCTGTAATGGTGTTACATTTGTATCTACTGAAGGGGAATGTGTGCATCTAAAGGGAAATTCAAAATCAAACAGCCATCATTTAATTGCACTCAGTATCTATGTCTGACATACACAATAAGTGAATGTTTTATTTTCTGGCCTACAATGGTATGTGTAAATAAGGACAAAATTTGATAAATATGGTCAATTAAGTTATAGTGTGTCATGTGATTTTTATTTTGCTCTCTTGTTATGTAATTTTCCTTAGGCTCCACATTTAGATTTATGCTTAGGTTGTATAGACTTTCATGTATAAATCACATTTGCCAGCGTGTGTGTCAGCCAGGATAACACTGTAGCAAAGCTATGCCAGCAGACAAGCACACAGAACCTGGATGACCACCACTTGACTCTCCAGCTAACCCTTGTCCTGTCTTTAATGCTGATTTACAGTGATGATTTAATAAAGTGGAAATAGCACTTCTGTGTTATGCTGTATGTTGTCTTTGATTTTATTCTAGTTTAGAAGTTTTCCCTGGGGAATCTAATAAAAAGTGGTTTACATTTTAGTGGTGAAGTTGGTCAAAAGCATTTTTCTAAGCAAAATCTTAAAACTGTATCCAAAGTGGTAGCCAATACCAGTCCAGAAAAAGTTAGAAATGTATTTGTCTAAAATCGACCTCTCAGTTGATAACATGGAGTGAACAGGTCCAGTCACCAGAGGACTTGAACTCAGGCATATTTGTCCACATGGACTTTAAGTTCATCTACCTGCTGCTGCCATTTGTTTCAGGATCCACAGTGAGCTGTGCAGACAGTGTTTCCAGCATGTTCCCAAAGGCTCTAAAGCAAGGGGCCCATCTGGAGGGTGTCTCTTCTTGAATCAGGGTTAGAGAGGTGTGCCAGTGACCTTCAGTTGATATTGCTGGTGACTTGGCCTTGGGACTAGTGGCCATCAACTTTTGCAGCAAATGTCTACAGAAGGCCTCTGCAATGGAATCTGCTCCCATAGACAGCTCTCTGTGTCTCTGAGCACACTATAACTCGGGTCTCAAAAACAACAAGACAGAACTCTATAGTATCTAGTTGCACGTCCCCCTGCCCACCTACCCATTTTGGTTGGCACTGACAATTACTGGCAGAAATTGCTGTGTGTTAGGAAGCAGGCATTTTGATTAGAGGCTGCAATCACAGCAAACAGTCTACGAGAGGGATGTTGATAGCAACAAGGCAGATCTCTGTAGGAAGAAGTAACCATTCTTCCCCACTGGTTATAAA